AAAAAAAACTTGTATTCAAGAAGCTAATGTCTTATTGCCTAAACCTAAAAATATTTTTTTTTTCGCCAGTCTGTAAATATGTTCTTGTCGGTAGTCAGTAAATTTTGTTAAAATTTGTCGCTAGTCAGTTGTTATTTTGTCCATTTGTCGCTAGTCGTTTAACCCCATTCAGACCTTGTTATGGAAGCAGGTGATGTAAGCTGAATTTTATGCGGAATTTTATACGCCATACGTGCTCTTYTATATYATCCACAGAGTTTTACGAAAATTCTGTAAAAGACAAATATCAGTTGCTGGAAGATAATTTTTATATATTCTAGCCTTTGGTGATTCTTTTTATTCCATATTTCCAGGCAACTTTATTTTATTTATGTATTTTTTTTTTAATGTTATGCATGTTATTTGAACTTGAGAAATAATTACTTTGTGTCGCTTTTAAGTACATGTCATACAATTGTATTCACTGATTATGTAAAACAAATTGGCTTCTTAAAAAACAAGTCGTGATTATTGATGACTTTTTTCGCAAGATGAACTTCGTTTCGTTAGATTTGAATTGTTTCACTCGTGCCTTTGAGTTCATTCGATACATTTGGTGATTTCAAGGGACTGGGTATAACTGCTGCATGTATATCTCGTTGCTTAGCAAGCAACCTTACGGCATGGCTGCAGCATTTTGGCGATGATTCTTGAGTATGCCTTACGGAATCGACGGATTCTCAAACTGTAAACAATGAAGTTCATGGACGAGTTTGCTAAGTATAGTGTCCGAAACCATACGTATATGACTTCAAACGAGCAGTGCGTCGAAGTATCAGTATTTGATAGCTTGTATCCAACAAGGGGTAACCAGCAGGCTGCGAAAAGCAAGATCACAATAGCAATTGTCCCAGAAACTCTTGTTTGCATGGCTCTATGACCCGTTCCAATGCCGRGTTGTACCTTATTAAATTTGGTTTTGTAGAGAATGATTGCGTACGAACCGATCATGAGGAGAAAATCTATGAAAATACATATAACAACATGAATTGTAGTTAAAATAGCGRCGAGGTTTCCTTTCCTAATCATTTGTACAATGGTACCAAGTGCAGCTACGCCCCAGCATAAAGATAGTATCAACTTTGACAAGTGCTTCATGATGCTGAAATGCTTTTGAGGCTTAACCATTGCTATTGCTCTGTCAATGCTGATAGCTGCCAAATGGTTGATGGAGCTACCACCAGATAGAAACACTGTGGATTGATATATCACATCGATTACATGGCTACACCGATTCGAAACTGTCTTCAGTAAGACATACGCAGCCAAGAATGGTTGTGCTATCATGGTCACCACCAAATCTGCTACAGCCAAACTCATAATAAGATGGTTGGATGGTCTTTGACGAAGTCGAGGTGTTTTCCAAACGGTAAATATTATCAGAAAGTTCTCAAATGTCCCAATTATGGCGAGGAGTACGTTGATAATAACAACACCTATTGCTTGAGTCTCGTGCACGTTGATTTCATTYCTATTGACTATAGTTGTCGGCTGTATGCCTGGAAGAGAACGGTTATAAGTCGACATAGCYTTAACGTTTGGTAACTTCTTTCTAGTGAAGTTAGAGACGATAGAGACGATGTGGTGTTAACTCYACTGTCTAGTATATATATTTAACAAATTGYGCAYGGTTTTRAGTTGTATGTCCTCTTATTGACACACTCTTKACGTCATAAAATGTTCAAAASTCAAGTGGATCCACGAGCGCWGCGAGACGTGATGGTGTCAGCACAGTGYGCATGTCCTCTTTTTGACACTCTAATCAGCCAATCAGCGCGCGAGAATTTACACAAGTGTGGTAAAAAATGACATATGCACTGTATCTGATGTGAGTTTAATTCTATTCCAATATTTTTTGTGTAAAGTTGTCTATATTCAAATGACTTTGACGTTGCCACTATGTCTGTATTACTGAACACCGTTAACGGGATTGCCGGTTCAATTGATTAGCTTCGAAAGAGATATTCTATTTTTAGGAATTGAAGAGTTTTTTGTATTAAACGAAACTAGTTTTCCTAAAAATCCTGCYGTTTTGTTGCGTAAAGATTGGAACATTGAGTTTAAACACTTACACAAAATGAAATTTAGACAATCTTTTGTAATCCGACATAAAGAAATATTAAATATATGTACAAATAAAAACAACATTAACTGATGGCATTATTTTATTCAATATTTTACATCATTTGAAAACGAGTACATATTTTTCTACCTTTATGAAATTCCGAGTCCATCAAATTCAGAATATGTACTTAAACGACATTCTAAGATTGGATCTGTACTCAATTAGTATTATATATCATCAAATTTCTCTGAAGTCTTTCTCTCATTATGTCTCTTGGTTGACTTTAGTTTTTAGATGTCTCGCTTACACCTTTCATTTGAAAAATGTTCAAATGGACAGATAAGAAGCTGTAGGCGGCAAAAAAATGATTTAGCACATACAAAAAAATGAACTTTGTAATATTCAAAGAGATATTGGATTTTCCATGGCTGTTAAGCTCACTGATAACTGTTTCTTTAGATTTGAATTGTTTCACTCGTGTCTTGAATTTAAGTTGATAAATTAGATGTGTTTATCGATAAAGGAACTGGCATAGTAATATTATGTACTGTATTTGCATTTCGTTGCAAAGCAATCTTCCTACATGGCTGAATCATTCTGGTCATGATCCTCGAGTAAGCTACTCGAAACTGACGGATTCTCAAACTGTAAATGGTGAAGTTCACGGATGAGTTTGCTAAGTATAGTGTACGAATCCATAAAGTTTCAGAGACATCAAATGAATTGTGCTCTGAAGTATCGGGATTTGCTAACCTGTATCCAACAACGGGCAACCAACAAGCCGAGAAAAGGAAAATGACAATGGCGATAGTTCCAGAAACTCTTTTCTCCATGGCTTTCTCACGTGCCGAGAAATGGCTTGCTCCAATGGTTGTTTGGACTTTAGGGAATTTTATTCTGAAGAGAATAATAACGTACGAAGCGATCATGACGAGAAAATTTATAGAAATATAAGTAACAAGAAGGCTGGTATGGATAAGAGTGGCGAGTTTTCCTGATGTTACGATTTGCACACTGAAATGTCCAATGAACAAAATCACAACTGTTCCCCAGCATAAAGATATCATCACTTTGTATCCCCGTTTGATGATGGTGGGATGTTTGTGGGGTTTAACTGTTGCGAGTGCTCTATCTATGCTAATGGCTGACAAATGGCTCAAAGAGCTCCCTCCAGATAAAGCCATTGCAATCAGATATGTCCTATTAACTACATGTAGGCCATATGAATTAGAAGCATCATCTAGTAAAATTTGTACGACAAGAAGTGGCTGTACAAGCATGGTCACTAACAAATCTGCTACTGCTAAGCTCAAGAGAAGATAATTTGATGGTCTTTGACGAAGTTGATGGGTTTTCAAAACGGCAAAGATTATCAGTAAGTTCCCAAAGGTTCCTATTATGGCAAGAAATACGTTGATAAAAACGACGGCTATTGATCTTGGCTCGTCCATTTTGATCTCGTTCTTAATGGAAATATTCTTTTCGTCTTTTGCTATGGCTGGAAGAGAACTTTTATAAAGCGGCTAGCACTACACTCTGCCTTGTTATGCAGCTGCTTTGAGTCAAACTCTATATCGTGTCGTTTTAGACACACANTGTGGTGACAATATTTTGAATACTTGCCATTAATAATTTGTTATTTCCACTGTTCATGAGTATTGGTTAAACCACGGTTTACAATTTTTTTGGTTGCTTTTATTTTCATTTAGAAAAATCTCACAAAAGCTTATTTTTAAAGAGCCAGTCGAAAGCAAACACGGTGTATGTAGGATGGAAAGTGAAGTGCTAGGGTATTCTTTAAACCACGGTTTAAAATTTTTTGGTTGCTATTATTTTTATTTAGACAAATCTCCCAAAAGCATATTTTGCAAGAGCCAGTCGAGGGCGTATAATATTTATAATCATTGCCAGATGTTAAATAAATTAATTTTTGTGAAAAAGCTTAAAAGATATTATCTAATTCCATTCTATATAATGACCAGACTACAATCTATTGCAAAATAACGTGAAACACCCCCACGAGTGTGTTACTACGACCTCCCCTCCCTCTTTCCAATGTTGTTTTGCGCTTATTTGAAGATTGAATCGGTTGAAAATCGTCCTGGAAATACGGTTAACGTGTATTCAACATTGGAGTGGGGAAATGGGGAAAGGTGTTCCGTTTATTTTGCAATAGATTGTAGCTCCAGCTATATGCAAGTTAAAAATGCATACTGAATTTTTTTTGGAAATGAAGAACTATTTATTTATGTTCTTTTAAAATTAGATGCCTTGGCCATGGACACGTTTCCCGTAGTTTGCATCAAATTCTAGGAAACAGTTCTGTCAATGTTGAACAAATCTCCCTGCATGCCTGATTTTCTAGCTTTTCAAGGCATTTCAATGCTCTATGAATTGGACATTGTTATTGGATCGAAAGTATAGTCAAAACATGCTTCAAAGCAATGGAAATAAGAAGGTCAAAACTTATTTAAATGATAATAAAGAAGTGCAATTTAGATTTTTTTTTCTAGATGAATCTTTTCATCTTGAAACTAAGTGTATAATACATGGCATTRTGCCGATAAAACTTCTAATCGGAATCAACGATGTTCACATTTGAATTTTTGTTTTGCTCTTTTAAGATACTTTTAACCCAAATAAAAAAGTTTTCCGAAAAAAAATATTTTTTTTGCAAATATCGTCTTTACGTTGGTGATTTTTATTGTATCTTATTTTTGAATTATTTATGACTTTAATCAATAGTGAAGAAAAAGACAATGATTTTTCTCATTTCTTTMAGCTTTAATTTCAAAAAGAGATGTGGGGWAGGAGCTRATKTGTCGGGATCGGTKTTCGCTCAAGGACAGTTGTTTCAGAGACCAACGGTRCTACCCAGACTGGCTTAAGCTTCTGTTTAAATCAGAAATCAAACCAATGTTGCTATAGTCAATGTCATCAGCTTTTCGTCAATGASCACCTTATGAACTCATAGAAAAGCAAAGTTTCTTTTCATTTAAAAGCGAMAKTTGAAACGATGGATAATCTTAGCCATACCCAAAATGCCACCAATGCAACATTTCCAGGAGATATAAAAATGGATTTATATCAGGGAACAGCAATTGTAGCAATGAACTTGCTCCTTTCCTGCATTGGAACATTTGGGAATTTCTTGATCATTATTGCWGTTCTAAAGACACCTCAACTTCGACAAAAGCCGTCCAACCACCTTCTCCTAAGTTTGGCCGTAGCCGACATGATAGTGACTATGGTTGCACAGCCATTATTTGCCACTTCTATCTCCATCATAACGATCCATGAAAGCTGCAGCATATCGGTTAGCGTAGCGTACTTAACCGCCACTTCGTTCTCTGGATGTTGTTCGACCCTTCACCTTGCTGCCATCAGTGTTGACCGAGCAATATCTACCGTTAAACCCCACCAACACCGGGATATTATGAGGAAATGGTGTAACGTAATACTGGTCTTTATTTGGGGATCAGCTATTACATATGGTAGTCTGTTTGTGAAATTTCCAGAAGTGAAGATAGTTTCCCATGTATCTTTGGTATCATGTTTTACCATTATGACTTGCTCATATGGGACAATCATCTACAAGATCAAAACCCCTAGTGGTGTAGCGACAGAGGCTTTCAATGCTCGYGAAAGAGCGTTAGAGAAACGGGTCTCTGGGACTATTGCTATCGTTATCTTACTATTCGCTTTCTGCTGGTTCCCTATAGTTGTCTACAACCTGTATCAACCCAATTATTCAATGATATGCTCATTTGATGTGAAGCTTACTTGGATTCGCTCTCTACTGTTAGCCAATTCTTCGATGAATTTTATTGTGTACAGTTTAAGAATTCGACAGTTCCGTGCTGCTTTCATAAGATTAATTAATAAAAGTGTTCGACCTTTGATGCAGACAACAAGGCTGTGTTTTCGAGACAATAGAAGTGTAGAAGACGGCTTAACTGTGAYACGGATTACTACTCTTTCCAAGTCCGTAAATCCACCATTTTCGATTAATAAGCAAAAACAGGATCCAGAAGGGATGAATTATAAAGAACACATAAATTGAACCTTTTATATGGAAAGATGAAATACGAAGTCAACATTAYATTTGAACATCATCTTATATTTCTTGCTAAGGATGTGGTTAAGTAGTCTTGGTTTGTGATTCTAAATCAATTCTACCGTAGATAGTTTGAGATCATGTCCTGATAAGATAGATGTCTAATTTCCTTTCTTAGTTGAGCTCCAGCTTAGGATAACACATTGTAGATTGGATGTACAATACTCATTCATTTTGTGGCCACAACTCTGAACGAACTTGAAATCAATGTATAATTCGGAAAAGATTTCTTGGAATTGATATCTCTTGGACGTGGCCATATGTCTCGATAAGGAATGTAATATTCAACATTGTTTATCAAATCTACAAACTTCWTGCTGGCTTAAAGTTGTTGCATTTCAGTAATTCATGAATAAATTCATTTATTGAATGCCAATTTTAGTCAAAAGGTCGACATGCAAGATATCAAACAATCTTGGCAAGGTCAAGAGGAACCTTTTTCCAGATTACTTTATATAACACCAAGAAAAACAATTTACATATTTTTTATTATTTTTGTCGGCTCAAACAAACGCTGATTAAGGGAAATATTCGTTTTGGGCAATATCACATGTACATAGGAGGCTTGCTGAGTTTTTTTAAAACAAAAAATACATTAGGTTTTCATTACAAAGTCATAACTTAGTAAAGCAACATAGAAAGACAAAAAAGCAAACAGCTGGGAATTACAACCAATAGAATTTTTGAGCAACTGATAAGGAGGCTTCGCTCAAAGAGAAGCTCAAACAGTTTCATAGTCGGTGTAGCTGTGATCATAATTAGATTTTGATYCCGACAATAGACGGCTTGCTACGTTTTCAATTACAGTAGCCTTTTTTAAAACTATTTCTTTGATTGGAAGGGCATTGACTCATAGAGAACTATACATCCTTCTAACGCRGTTCAAGAGCGAATTATAACCCATGGATGTTGGCGACACTCAAGATGCTACTAACGYAACTTTTCCACTAGATGAAAAAATGGGTTTTTACCAGAGAGTAGCTATTATAGYAATCAACCTTCTCCTTTCCCTCATTGGAACATTTGGAAATTTCTTGATCATTATTGCAGTTCTAAAGACACCTCAACTTCGACAAAAGCCGTCCAACAACCTTCTCCTAAGTTTAGCCGTAGCCGACATGATTGTGACTATGGTTGCACAGCCATTATTTGCCACTTTTATCTCCATAATAACGATCCATGAAAGCTGTAGCATATCGGTTAACGTAGCGTACTTAACCGCCACTTCGTTCTCTGGATGTTGTTCGACCCTTCACCTTGCTGCCATCAGTGTTGACCGAGCAATATCTACCGTTAAACCTCACCAACATCGGGATATCTTAAGGAAATGGAGCAAGGTTATACTGGGCGTTTGTTGGGGATCAGGCATTACATATGGTAGTCTGTTTGTGAAATTYCCAGAAGTGAAGATAGTTTCCCAAGTGTCTTTGATATCAGGTTTTGCTATCATGATTTGCTCATATGGGATGATCATSTTCAAGATTAAAGCACCCAATTTTGTAACGACAGAGATTGTCAATGTTCGTGAGAGGGCTTTAGAAAAACGGGTTTCTGGGACTATTGCTATCGTTATCTTACTATATGCAGTCTGCTGGTTCCCTATAGTTGTGTACAATCTGTATGGACMCAATTATTCAATGATATGCTCATTTGATGTGAAGCTTTCTTGGATTCGCTCTCTACTGTTAGCAAATTCTTCAATGAATTTCATAGTGTACAGTTTACGAATTCGACATTTCCGCGCAGCTTATGTAAGACTAATTGGCAAACGCCTAGGAGGTTTAATGCAAGCAACACGGTTGTGTCTTCAAGCCAAAAATGAGCAACATAGAATTGTGGTGACAAGTATTGCTTCTTCGTCTGTAGATCCAACATGACTTAACTTCCTACCTAGTTTTTTTCTGAAATCTCTAAATGGAAACATCTTAAATTTAGATTAGCCTTTTTAAGTACTGTAT